CAGCATGCATTTCACCCGGAGGGCACAATGCAGCGATCTCTGCGAATCAATGGCAGATAAATCAATGCTATCTCTTCTTTCCATGCCTCTGCTGCCATTGATTTTTTTTTTCTTCCTCCTGTTACTTTGCTGTTTGTGGAGACTTGAACTCTGCTCAATTAAACTGAGTTCACTTTCAGGAACAAATTGTAACAACGAAAGGCTTTCAGCTCGGAGACAGACACTAATGTTCGCTCTGGATGGGGGCGTGTAAGAGCTTTATTTATGAGATGCCCCATTCAGGCAGAAGCTGCACTGGTTTTTACTGAAGCTCAACCTGGATTTATTGGTATTGTGAACCTTCTTTCAGATGAGCCATGCCGAAGACTTCCCTTAATATTGAGGTTTTCCATTTTGAAACAGAGCTAATTCCTGACACGGAGACAGAGTAAATATCCTTTGATCGTATTTAGTAAGAGAGATGGATGCCCAATTAGTTTTAGTGAATAACCTTTGCTTTGGCGTTTTAGCTAAATGTGCATATGGCTTCTTGGCAGGGAAATCTCTAATGTGATTTCATATCCAATCTCCAGGCTCTATAGATCCTGTCATTGGTAACGATTTCTGGGGAGTTCGCAGACATGGAAATATTGTTTTGAAAACTGCATTTAATATAGCCCCCAGAAAATTATCCACTGTGATATTTCACTAGTCCCCATAAATAATTCATTGTTTTTATGTGCCCTCATGCTGCCTTGGGGATTGGAACAGCTGAGTGTTTTCACAACGTATTTGTGTCCAATCTTCTGCGTATTGGGCGTACTCTAATCAAACCACAGTAAACATGCTTTGAATGTTTGTTGAGTCATCTGCTTATCAGCTAATCAAATGGCTTATTTGCTAAGCCTGCCTCACTGGAGCACAACACAGCTCTGGTTGAGTATTTTTCAATTAATTGTTCATCTGTTTGATTGACTGTGCAGCGGTGTTGATACGATGACACCGGTTTAATCTGCTCCATGATTGGAATACATTTGAGGCGCGTTTTACCTCCCCCAGGCACACTTTTCACTGTTTTATTTTATTTTCATGTAGGTGTTAAACCACAGTAAAGGCCGCGTATGTACAGGCACCTATTCTTTTCTGTAAGAGAACTAGAAAGTTCAAGTCATGGAGTGAATTTCAAAGGCAGACGCCAGGACAGCGACACGGGGCTGCCAGGGATTGGTGAGCAATCAGATAGGGCAGAATTGATGACCTGGCTCAGGATGGATTTCTTGGAGCGGGCTGCCAGACCGAGGTAATACTTTCAGGCTCTTATCAGCACTGGCATAAGCTGAGTGCTGCATCACCCACTTCCCAGCGTCAGCTTATTATGAGAGTCCATGATGTGTGATTGCTTGTACTGCCTTTGTGTGTCCCGAGGCCTGCGGGCACCGGACACAGTTGGCCAGAAGAAAAGGAGGAACGCTGAGGGCCTCTTGTCAAAGTAAATTCTGCACAACTCTTGTAATGACGTTTTGCAAAAATAGGTATTTGGCAACGCTTCCTGTGACTTACAGGCTGAGGTGTCAGTAAAGGATTTGTGCAAAGTTAAGAATAGACAGGCACATATACGTTAAGCTAAAAGATTGTTTTGCTAAAATATATTAAATTTAGGAATGTTTAAGACTATGTACATGTTCACGAACATTACTTTTTAAAATATATTTACTGAAAACTGCATGGGAGGCATCCTGCAGAATAGAGCACTTAATAAATCTGAGCTCATACAGGAAAATAAACTGATTATTGGCTTATCAAGTGTAAGGGATATTTGTCCTACAGGAATTTCAAACCAATTAAGTTAACTTAATTAGCATTATAAAGTCACCAATTCATGAACACTAGATTCATTCTGCATGATAATGCAAAGTTCCCTGATAGCTCCCTGCAGCTCCGCACAGAGCGGAAGCCCGCGGCTTTGAGTCCAGGTCTTCCCATAAAAACAACGGCGCCTTTAACCTTTAACCAGGCTGCTGATGAGGATGAGAGAGCGACTAGAGACCTCGATCTGCATCCTGCCCCGGCAAATCATATCAAACGGGCTTTTTTTCTTCTTCTTCTTCCTCTTCCGCAAATAAACAACGTGGTTTTTTAGACGCTTGGACGCCGAGCATCTCTATGGTAACAGTCCTCTATTATCGATGATTGGCCAGCCCGTGGGAATGTCTCCGTTCCCCCGGCGCGGTGATTGGTCGGTGGGCGGGTCCGTGCGCCCTGACGGGCCGCAGCGTTCCGGGTTATTGTCAGTCTCGGCAGCGCAGCACAAGGGCAGGACCGTTTCCCGGAGCTGCCCCGAAGCAGCTAGCTCTTCTTCCCAGACGTCACCGTTTCTCATCCGGTTATCGCGCCGGAGAGAGTCCCCTCGGAGCGTCGCTGTCGAGGTCGCTGCTCAGCCTCAGCTGGACATCTCGAGTCGGGAGCCGTCGGAGAGACGCAGCAGAAGCCGCGGAGAAAGTGACGGACGGAGCGGAGCCCGATCACCGGGATTTTTTTTTTTTTTTTACATCGCACCGGTTTAGGATATTTCAGGCAGCTGCTTTGCCACCCCGGGGCTTGGTTTTCTTCCAGCCTGCCTTGACACATCATCGCTCAGATAACATTTCTAAACACCCGCGTGGTGCGTTTCTCCTGAGGTGGTCCATAGCGAGCAGGCGCACCACTTTAAGCCCGTGCGTAACAGCGCTGGCTGTTGGAATACTGCGTAGCAGTTCATCCATCCATGCTTTTGAGTGGCATTTTTTTGGTATTTGGAGGTATCTATAAGTGAAAAGAAGAGAAACCACGACAATTTTTACTTTGTCCCCAAGGATAAACGTTGAAAACCCGAAGCGCACTTGGTGCGCAATCCTTCCGCCGACGCTCCTGAAATTACCGACCTGCGCTTTTGTACTCGACCAAAAATTGGCGACCGAGTCGAGATAAAAAGGGCAAAGCTTATTAACTTTGCATGCCAGAGGCCAGAGTGTGGAATCTAATCATCGGGGTTACCGGTTATATTCGCATACCATCGGAAGAAGAGGATAAACTTGATCAACATTTGACATCGACAAAGCGTCTGCTGGATTTTGGAGAACAGAATGAATCCGTTTTAATTGAGACCACAGAAGCACGAGGCAGATTGCTCAGTGAATGCTACAATCTGCATGGAGTTCTAGTCTGCACTACGGAGCAATTTATGGTAAATATATGTTTCTGGTCTTTTCTCTCTACCTCCTGCAGATTCCGATCGGTTCGGGTCATTCTTTGTAACCATTAACGTAGTTACGGCCGGAGCTTTGCTGAATCCCGTCGGGATGGTAACCAGAGGAACACGCATATATATATTTAGAGGACATGATGCATGTTTGCAAAGGCTCCCTCTTCACTGGATGCTGCCCACACAACGGTGTCTCCGGTTTGAAGCCTTTTGTTGCGCGTATGACCCACAATAAAGGAAGTGTTGTAAAACCGACTTGTTAGAGAGCCGCTCCCGAATGGCTCCAGGAGCCGCTTTGATGTGGAATATTGGTCTTTTCAAGTATGGGTAGCAATTAAGTGGATTGTCGAGGGTATCGCACCGCGGGCACCACAGGCAGGAATATGTGTCGCTGGAGGAGTTGCTGCTCCGAGCAAAAGGTGCGACTTTTCTCCTCCTGCACGCCCCCGTGCGTCACTGCGTGTGGGGAGGGTGACTATAGTGACTGCTGCAATTAGTGATCGTTCACCCTGGAGTGGTAATGATACAATCTTTTTCTACAGAGTGCATGCATATTGTGACAGGCTTTTAAGCAGCACACTTCATGGAGATGCGGGCTGACTGCTGTAAACTTTTCACTTTGTGCGATGATGAAGGTGATGATGATGATGATGCATTGAGATCCTCAGGCACTTCGTCATTGTCTGGTGAATTCTTCTGCAAGCCAGAGCCTCGACTGCAAATCGAAAAGCGCCATTATATTGAATGCAACTGACGCATGCTGATAAAGTTTAGTCTGTTTCCACTCCTTTTTTGAGCCTCGTGGGTTGCTGAGGTTGCTTTGCAATATTTAGCTTCATCGCTCACACCGCACATAAATGAGCCTGCGCATTATGCTGACTGTGCAGTGAAAAAAAGGCTGCACACGGTATGTTTTATCATTAGACTACAAGCATCCTCCCAAATGAATCTTCCTCGCTGGCTCCAGTCATTCTCTGAGCAGCCCCGCAGACAGGCAGCTCGCTGAATGTAATATGGGCCCCCTACAGCAGGGTAGGCGCCCCCACAGTCAGGGCACCTGCCATCCCGGCTGTATTGAATAAAACATCCAGTGATGTATGAGGCAGGAGCTGCACCCGAGGGGGCAGAACTGCCTCATTTACTTCCTCCACTCTGCGCCTATGACCTGCTGAGCAAATTGTGCTCATATTAGCTCTGCGGCTGCTCCTCACCTAAACAAATAGTCTGCAGCATAATGCTTGCTTTAACTCAACATGAAGGTTGGACGAGGGAGAACTGAATGGCAGAAAGGCTTTAATATCTAGGTCACTGAATTCCCTTTTTTGAGTTATTTTCTGGCTTGAAGTTGGACCTTTTTCCTGTTGAACATTGGACCTTCATGTGTCCTGCTGCAATACGTTACTCACTCTTGATGTTTCCTGTTGCTCTTCACTCTTGTCTAACAATACAAAAAGTCAGGTAATCTTGGAAAATATTTTAAAAGAATGTTTTTTTCAGCAATTTATTCTTACTTGCTGATGAAATTATGAACTTAAATTCCTAAAGTTAAATCTAATTTACTAATTTATGCCTGAAGCAGCTGGGAGGTGGAGAACGTATTTTAGCGTTCCATTAGTAAAAGTAAGACGAATGCATCAAAAGAAGCCTGGCTTTTTAACATTTTTATCAGTTTGATTGATTGATAGCGTTTGGGTTCCATACCGTATTCTTTGCTTATTAAAGTGCCTCCCTGAAGGGAATAAGTGAGCTTCAGTCATGAATATCGTTAAAGTCACTGAAGTTTAATTTCCTGTGTATTAATCTTTTTAGTCCCTGCATGGTTTGATTGTCTCCACACCCAGGGGCAGCCAGCCAGACTCATTTTGGCACGTTAGACTAAAATAGTAGATATAAAATGTGTGTGTTTGTTGCTTAAGATCTATCCCACCTTGAAGTGTCTATATATACATGTCTTCATTCTTTTGTGGTCTATAGATGAAAGTGCGTCTTTTTATTCACACAAATTAAATGATTTTCTGTCTACAGTCCACTTGTAGAAATAATTCACATGATGTAAATAATAATTTTTCTTTTCTGCTGTCAAAGAAAAGAATAGACAGGCGCTCTTAGATTGTCTGATACGCACAAAGCATCTTCTTTGTTAATATCACCGGACACTTAAAGGAACATGAACGTTGGTGTCACCAGCAGCTCATTAGATGCCTGATCAAAGTGATTCATTTCAGGAAACGTCCACAGCGGCCTTTTGTTTTTAAACCTTTTCATGTGCAGGCAAACCAAAGAGACGTGCCCTTACTTGCACTGGTACAATATTACATGATTTGACATAAACTCTGTTGTCCCTGCAGTGTGATTTGTCTCGCACATCGGTACTCAGGATGTGGAGACAGAGTGTGGAAAAAAAGATGCATGAAACAAACGCATTACGCAGAAATGACTGGAGCAACAAACGCACCCTTCAGCCAGTCTGCAGATGAGTAGAGGTAAAAACATTGTTCCGTTTCCGGCAGAGATGTTCGCGTGGTCGGGCTTTCAAAGGCGGGAGAAGCAGGAATGCTTCAGTTTGTGTGCGTTGTGTTTGCAGTTCCTTGACATGTTTAGCTGCTACAATACCTCCAACTGCACACTATGTTTGCGTGATTATTACCTTCATATCGAGCAACATAATGCACACATCTGAAGCAACATTGAGTCAAATGTGTCAGTGATTTTTTCTACACCTTTTTTACGCCAGACAAATACAGACTACAGGCATTTGATTGCCAACGTGCCCCCCCGCAGTGTTTCTGATGAGTGCTACGCGTTAGCGAGACGCCGCGTGGTTCCCTGCTCATTACCCAGCTGAGGGTTTCCTGTTGTTTTCGGCAGTTCGTAAAAGATACATCAGACCACAGGTCTGCTCTTGTGATCCAACATCTACCACACAGATGTTGGCAGCTCTTTGCCATCGTTATCCGTAGTCACTTAATGCGTGACGGACAGCGCCGATCCGCTGACCTCCTCCCTCTCCCTCCGCCCCCACGTCAGACTGAGTGGACGTCACGCCTCACCAGGCCCGAGGTTAACGTATGTGCCTTTAATTTGGAAAGGTTGGCGCGCACAAGTTGTTTTGTTTGTAAATGTTCTCGTGCGTGGGAAACGCAGTCAAAAGGAACTGGCATTTATGTGTTTAATGAGAACACTAGCGCACAGAGGAAGAGTCCTGTGCTGTTTACTCCATAACCCAAACATAAAAGGGAGCGAAGCCTTGCTCCTCTTTTTTTTTTTTCTCTCCAAGTGTGGTTGAATAAAGAGAATAGAGCAAATCTGACAAGCTCTCCAACAGCAAATTTGCTCTCTTTAAAAACAATGCCGCTCTTGCCTTCCTCATGGTCACATTGATTTGTTCTGGGTGACAGTGCAGGCTGCTGTGAAATCACCCCACCGCCATTGATCTGGAGGAGGAGGGGAGGCAGGAGAGCCTGGCGACAGTGGGCAGCACGGGAAAACCCTCACAGTGCCCTCCTAACCTCAACCAGTAATACAATAAAAGCCATTTATTCCTATCAGATCAGCGCCTGCTGTACTTCTTCAGCCACTGTATTGCAGTTTGGTCTCCACTTTGTTTTGGATGACCGTGCGTGCGGTTTCATTTTCTATTGTTGCGCCACGATGTCTCACGTTATCAGCTGAACTCTTTATTAGAACTGTTTTCCATGCTGGTAGCAAGAGTGTTTTATCTCACGCAGGCCCCTGATTAATCTCTCCCTATATGCTGGTGTACTTTAATCTCGGATAGGAGATATCTGATTCTCCTCGGCTATTGAGGAAGATCAAACTTTAGTGGAACAAGGAACTGCACATCATCCTAATCTCCATCTCCTTGCACTTTGGTTGACTGCCCTCCCTCGGGCTTTGTAGCTTTCTGCAACGGCAAGAAATACATGAGACTGATAAGGTGTTTAAAGTTATTCCCTGTTGACTCTGGGCACGGCGTTGCATCTCTGCTGCTAAAGAAACAGCGGGTTAAAGCAAGGGAATTGATTGACACTTACAAATTGCTGTTCTTTATAACTCAATTGTGCAAAACTTTTTCATAAGCTTTAACTGGGGTTTCTTCACAGTTCAGTCAGTCCACAGGAAAACTAAAAACATGCTCGCCCCCCCGCTCTTTATTGACATGCAAGAGATGTGTGACTCGCGTCATCTGTCTATAATAGCCTGGAGGCGAGATACCGTCAGCTGCGTGCATGTGGTAAGGTTCAATGCGTTTGATTACACCACAGTCAACGCAGGAATTAGCTATTGACCGCCATTTTCCTCCATTTCGCTCCTCCGTATCGCTGCTGAATAATGGTAGACATTATGCTGACCCGTATCCGGACTGTGACTGGCTGGATGCATATTGTTGCAAATGGAAAACACTTATGGAGTCTCACGCCTCCCGCAGACGGGTTGTGTCTGTGACAAAAAGAGGCTATTACCCAATTCTAAGGCGGTTGCTATAAGGTAATGAAATTTCCACTGACAGGAGAAAACAATGTTGTCTGGATTGTAATGACAGAAGCCACATCGCCATTTTCCCCGAATTCAGTGTGAATGCAACACAATTTAATAAAAGATTTTTATCATTTATTTCCAGACCTTCCAGCTGCATCAGGCAGCGTAAACTGAGGCTTGCACAGATAAAACTCATTCAATCTACTTGTTGAATTTTAACCAAGCCGGAGACCATTTACAAAGCAGCCGGCATTTATCCCACAGGGAAACGTTTATGTGTTTGCATGGGGCGGGTGCAGGTCAGCCATATTATTAACATAAAGCAACCGTTTCCTTAATCTAAATGGAGGAGTAGCCTGGAATTTTCATCATTTTCTCCTGTGTTTTTATTTGGGTTGGAAATCCGTGGGATATTAGGCCCCGAGGCCAAAGAGCTTCTGCGTGTCTGCCTCCACTCGCATACAAAAACATAGGAACATTGACATGAGGACATGTATGGTCAC